GTAATTGAGATAACAGAAACTGGTACGATTTGATTCAGTCTGGACCAATTCCTAGATCATAATGTGAATCATAGATCTTGAATAGTAGTTATTACCAATGGAATAATAACCTACTGCAGTAATGAGGACGTTACAACTATTGTAAGGTTCTGGTTACAATAAACCTAGTAGCACATGAATGGATAAGGAATAAACATTTCAATCATTAGCATACAGGACTGGAACAGAAAACAGCAGACAGAATACCAAGTGGGACATTTGCAGGTTTTGAATTTCACTTCACAATAACAACACAAAAAGATATCTGATTCCTAATATCAGGACCCATCAGGAGACTCCCAAAAGCATGCCTTAAGTATATGACTCAGCCGAACACATGAAAATTTTGAGTGCATTTCCCTGATCTTTTTAGGCATCACAACTTCTTGTAAACACCTCTGACCTTTGTCAGGAATTACAAAATAGCACATCTCAAGAATGTACCTCGCATCCAAAGCACTGTAAAAATACTTTGTGGACTTGTAATATTATTGCTTCACAAGCACCAAGATTCTTAAAACCTCTGCTGTTAGAAAAAAAGTATTATTTGAAAAAACATTCAGACAAAAATGCAATTCTCTTTTAAAGGGGAAATAAATTAATAAACTTACAAAAAATATTTTATCAATAATTGTCACAATTGATAAAATTTTCAGGTAAGAAACAGCCAAGTGTTTGGATTTTTATTTTTATTTTTGAAAGAAGTGCTGATTTACTATATGCCTGGTCTGTGAAAAGGGATTGTAGCTGAACTGGGCTCACTCATTGCACCCACGTGAGCAGTATGTCATCTCTCATCATGCAAACGGACTCAGAGGATTCAGCTCTCTGAAAGCATTTGTACTCACATGCATGGAACGTAAATATGCCTTTAGTAGAATTTATGGATAAGTAAAAAACCTGTGATGATATCATAATAAAATTTTTTTACATTAACTGGATTGCTTTCATACAAAGTTGGAAATAGAGGAACTGCTGCTGCTCTCAAATCCAAGCTATGGTCAGTCCTAGGATCACTGTATATCAGCAGTACTCACTACCCTTTGCAGGACTTGATCCACTAATGGTGGATCAGCATTTTCATGAGGAAAAACTTCTAAAGAAATTCTCCTGCACCAGTGATAGTCATACAAAACAAACGACTCACCTCAGCACTGTCAATACTCCATCAATGGCGGAGTAGAAATTGCAGGAATTCTAGCAGACTTAAATAGGATTGCCAGCCTCGTGGCATCTCCAAGACGCCATGTATTCAAAGGTAGTTCAGAATCTCAGTTGCATTTCCTTTTTTCTGTGTTTTTCCTTAGCTAAAATCTATTTACTTCTCTGTAAAGAAAAGGGGCCCTGGTCTTCTTTTGACTTTTTATTATGCTTATAAGGAAGCTCCTTCTTTTGGTTGCTCATCCACAATAACTTTGTGCACCAGGGACTTCTATCAGAAATATGGATACTTACCATCAAAAAAGACCACTTCAAACATTTTAACAAAATAAGAATGTACATGGACATATAAATGAGTTTGCTTTATGAGGTACAGTTGGCCAAAGAGAAACCAAATAATTGAAAAGACATGCAAAAAGCCTGTGACCTTTTGAAAACGATAAAAAGCAGATTTGTTTTTATTTTTATTTCCATGTGTACTTTGTGCTAAAGATTTAAGTAAATTATGTAAGAAGTAATTGAACTCTAGATGCTTCTGATTATAATGAAAGACATATTGGTCATTGTGTCTTTTCTTCCAAATCTCAGAATGTGGAAACCACTACTACGCACCCACACTCTTGTCCTTGTGTACCTCAAAACAAATTTTAACTGGAAATAATATTCATTCTCGTAGTAAAGTCTTGTCAGAAAACATAAAAATATACATACAGCATTGACTCCTAATGGCACACCTGCTAAGTCCAGCAGAATGACTTTGAAAAGACGAAGTTTGGTCATTAGACTCACTGAGGCACAATTTAGGGGTTAAAATTGAAGTTATTTGCTATCATCAAATAAAATCATAGAATCATAGAATGGTTTAGAATGGTTTGGGTTGGAAGGGACCTTTAAATCATGTAGTTCCAATCCCTCTGTTATTGGCAGGGACACCTCCCTCTTGATAGGGTTGTCAAAGCCCCATCCAGCCTGGCCATGAATGCTTCCAGGGAGGGGCCATCCACTGCCAATCTGGGCAACCTGTTCCAGTGTCTCACCACCTGCACAGTAAAGAATTTCTTTCCGATATCTAGTCTAATAAATAAATAATAATAATAATAATTGTAAAATTTTTAAAAAAGAAGAATCACAAATCTGAAGAATTTTGTATGACGTATCAGCTTAAACTTTAATCATGGAGAGGCTGTATTTTACATCGCTTTACTAAGATTGACAGTTAAAAAACCCAAATACATATCTTCTTGCTAAGGTAAAGATAACAGGATCAAATAGACTATAGCCAACATTCAGAAGATCAGAGCAACTGGGATTAGTTATGGGGAAAAAGCACCACAGAAAGCAGTCCTTTCTGCTGAAAGAAATACTGAATGAAGTAAGCGCATATACAAAAACATGCTGATGAGCAACAGTTCGTATCGATTTGTCAACAAGCTGTCAACAACTCTGACATGCATATATCTTGTGAACATAGAAATGTAGGAAATACAATTCTTGACTTCAGTAATGTGTTCATGCTGTTTCTTACAATATGGACCTAAAATAGCTAGTAAGTAATGGTTCATATGATCATTAGCAGAAACTTTGTGCATAGATATATCACTGCCAAAACAGGTATTTAATTAAAAATGTCACAGATTCCAAGTTGGTTTTGGTTTTTTTTAATTGTGTTTTGTTTTATTTTGGTTTATTTTATGGGCTTGTCTGGTTTCAAATCTAACATATTTAGTTACTTATCATAAGAAAATTATTATATTACTCACAACTACCCAAATGTTATAATTGCCTTCATTGGTCACATGCATATAAATACATGTTTTGTCTTTATTTTGTTTTTTGTGGTTTCTTTCTTCTCCACTTCTGGAGGATCACACAAATGAACAAGTGCATTATGAAAGGTTTATGCTTTTAAACTCTCAGTTAAGATGACAGACATCTTCTAAATGCACTCCAAAAGGGCTGCAAAACAACTAAATTTTTATTTTTTATTTTTCTGGTCTAAAATAAACATTACAAAGTCCAAATTAAAATAGAAAGCCACCTTTTAAACCAAAAGTAGTATCTTACTGGGCAAATCAACACTGACCTCTTATTTTTTTGCTATTCTAAAATTCAGTAAAATTATTTTTCAAGATTGTTTAAATACTATCTTGCATTATGAAGCTTTTCAGTTCTGATACTGGTTTAAAAAAAAGAGATTTGACTTCATACCTGTTTTATTTACTGCTCAATATTTAATAGTATTTAATATTTAATACTAAGTATTAGGCTCAAAAGCTCACACATGACAATTATTCACATATGAGCATGGGACAAATTCCTGATGACACTTCATACACAAATCTTGCAAAAATGTGCTAGGTTACATGCTAGGTTAGTCTTCAGACCTTAAGTGTTCAGTTAATTATCTTTGTATAAAAAGGTGATATTGCTTAATTCACTTTTTTTTTTTTTTTTTTTTTTTTTTTAAATCTATTCACATAGTTCCTTCTATTCCATACTCCCTTATTGCTTCTTTTACTTGTAACAGTGGAAAAAAGTTTCATGCAGACTTTGGTTTTAACCCATTAACAGGTAGGATTACTTAAGGGTAATCACAAAAAGCTAAAATTTGGACAGAACTTCTGGAAGTCACTTACCCCACCCCCTTGCTCAAGTTACAGAAGGCTGCCTTGGGTCTCATCCAGGCAGCAGCCACTATCCCAGCCACAAATTTACCAAGTGCGCTTCACCCATCATCCAGATCATTAATGAAAATGTTAAACAGGACTGCACCCACTATTGATCCTCAGGGTACCCCCGTCACTACCAGCCTTCTACTGGGAGATTTTGTACCATTCCCTAATCCTAACCTTCTCATTTTCTTGATCAATTTCCTATTAGTTTGTTTTACTTAGGATGATATTTGGTTCTATGCCCTACCATAAAGGTTAAAATAAGCATGAATTTATGGGATGGCACACAGTCATTGAATAGATCTTTTCTGTCATTGACATTAAGAGATTACCTAAATCCACATTTGCTTTCTAGATGAAGCAAAAAATATTATACACAAATTCCTGCCTTTTTTTCCACAGAATAGTAGACAGACCTCAAATATATGTATTTTTTAATTTAAAAATGAAATTTCACTTTCTTTCTACTTTCCTAGCAAGCGTATCTGATTATTTTCTATTTGTTTGGGAAATGTTCATTTTCAACAAGAAAATGCAGAAAATCACTTAAGTATTAAAAAATATTTCTTACCTGAGTTCTTTGACTGATTAAAGATAACAGACAAATTAGTTACTTCAACCTGAACACAGTAGCAGCCTAAGATATTGTTAAATTCCAAGTTTTTCAACTCTTTGGTAAGTCACTTTTGATTAAAGACTATGATAAGTCACACCTTCACAAAGTCCTGCTTACTTATGTAAATTAGCTCCTTTTCTCAAGTTGCCTTAAATGAAAGTGAAGCTTATTAAACACCACAAATGGACATCACTGTTTTGTCTGAGCTTTGCGATGATGATGCTCCAAAGGAGCTATCTTGCTGTTCTAAAAAGATTGAAAGAAAAAAATTATCCATGCTAAAGAAATGTTTAAGTAGTTCTAAACAATAGATGGGATTAGAAGGCTTATACAAAGCCTTATCCTTAATGTGACTCATTTAAAAGACTGAACTCATCACTCACTGAAGGAGTTTCCATTCAGTCTGTAAAATATATAAAGACGGGCACAGATGGAGAACATGTTAATTTACACCTGAAAAGCTTAAAGTTTGAAAACTGCTTACCTTATATGAAAGCATTAAGTAATTAAGAATGTATATCTCATCATATATGTTAATACTCTCTCTTTTTTCTCAAGGTTTTCTAATCTCAGTTTCAAAATCTCTGCAAAAAGCAGATGAAGATATGTTGCTAACTGCAATCAATCTAGGAAGAACCCTTCGAAATGGAGATAGAACTGAAAAGAGAGGAGCAGTGCCTTTGCTGAAACGTTATAAGATTGAGGAAAGCTTCTTGGATGAAGACGATGACAGAAGATTAAAGTTTTTTGTGAGTTTTCAGTTTTGCATTTTTTTAATTGCCTAAGTATTGAATTGAAATTCTTTTCATAGCCCTTTAGAAGACAAGTAATTTGAAGTAATGATTTGTTGGGTACAGGAAAAAAATCAGTTTAGGATTGAATGAAATCCTTTCTACCATAATTTCTTCTTTTGAATTTTCTAATTTCCAGTTTTTAAATGTTTAATCTGGGCAGTTAAATTAAAAAATAAAAAAATAATTTAAATAGAAACAAAAGTTTGGGGGGAAGAGCCTATGTTTCAGCATGTCTCTTGGTTTTTTTTGTTTTTTTTTTTTTCTAAAGGTAAACTGATAGTCCTGTTTTTCTTCTTAAAACAGGACACTGATTCCAGACATGATTTCTTAAATCATGGTGTACCTATCAGTGCAGGCAGAAAGCAACTACCTTATCTTGCACTGAAGGGAGCCATTGCTTTTCCAGCTGACACTGAAATTCAGAATATTGAATCAATACAGGAAAGAGAGACAGTGGAAGAAGAAAATTCAGCTAAATTCCCCATAGGAAGGAGAGATTTTGACAGTAAGTACATTTTATTTTTTTCTCTCTTCTTTTTTTTTTAGATTAATTCTGGTAAGGTATACTTCAGTGTCTCTGAAACCATTTCTTAAAAGCACAGTTAGAAACTCCATTTAATATCTGGGATTTGTTAGTGCTATTTAAATCCTGCATTTCCAACTTGCCTCTACTGTAAATAGTCTGGGGAATGGGGTGTAGGCATTTGTAGGCCATACAGAATTCTAGTTCTTTGCTATTTTAAACTTTCGCTTTATATTCCTGTAGTGCTCAGATGCATGCTGGGAAGAGTCTATCGACCTTGTTGGCAAGTCTGAAAACTACTGAATCACAGCACCTTCTTTGAAAAAGATTAAATATTTTATTGTGAGTTTAACATGATTGGAAGATATTTGTGTCTTAGTATTCCTACACATATGCATCTAACATTATTTTCATTATATTGCAATGTTGAGAGAAGCATAATTCATTACCAAAACAGAGCATAGTTGTCAATACTGATGTATTCTTAACAAAAATAAAAGATACCTGCATAATCAGACTTGTAAGCATTTGTCTAATTATACACACAAGCTATTTTCATTGATTTGAGTATGAAGAAAAGCAAATCATGAATTTCACCTTTTTCTTACAAAATCTCACTTCTGAAGTGTTCAATAGACAATGCAGGTAAAAATAAAAAGTTACACTTTAAAAAATTGAGTTAATTTTGCCTGACCAACAATCAATTTATTCTTGCTTGCAGTTCTGTTGTTCTTTCTTTTTCCATCAATTTTGCTGTCCAATTCCTTCTGAGGGTTGTTTGAAGTCTTACGTTTCTTAGCATTTTTTGGCAAAGATATTTCACTTTCCTCATCATAGATAACTTTGTCATTATTCAAATCCATCTGTTCATTCTTGGAGTTCTTTTTCCTTGGCTGACAACTCAATTTCCCCATTTCTCTATAATTTTTATTCTGATGAACATTTTCAGAAATAGTTCCAAGCACTGGTATGTCAAGACATGAATTCATACCTTCTGTCATGCAAGAATATCAAAAACATATGTGAAGAAAAGAAGTTACCTGGGTTTATTCATCTGTTTTCTATCAGGACTATCATGTGATTTTTTTTATCAAAACAATTGCTTTATAAAGCAGAACAAAACTATTCTGGTCATTGCACTTGCATTTGCTACATATTAAGTATGCTGATATTTCAAAATTACTTTGCTCAAAAATAAGCTAAGGAAACTAAATTAGGGAAATTAATTTAAAGCTTTGAGATATTAGAAAATATGCATAAAGGATTTAGAATATATATATATGATATAGCTTATGGAGGAATAACCCAAACAATTATTTTCTTAAAGATATAAATTTCAGTTAGCTTGCGTATGTCAAATAAGAAGTAATATTACATAAAAAGTATCACTATTTTTTTTACCTTAAGATAGCATCAATACATGTGTTTCAAACAAATTTGAATTTTTAAGATATTAGCATTAAAATTTCAATGCAAAGGCATTTAGCTGGTCACAGTATATACAAAGCAATGAGACATCTATTTTTTTCTTGAAAACTTATTTATACATGAATTTTACCAAAGCTTTCTTTGATAATAGTTGAACACTTAGATATCACATTCACATATTCAATTCCACAACGGCTTACCTGTGAAATATTTACCTTGCAAATGTTGCTTTGGTGCAGGATTTATGCAGGCTGGCATTTGTCTACTGCTGAGGAAGTGCTGATCCCTTACTTTACTCAGCTCATTTTTGTATGTACATGCAAACTGAGATTTGATTGAAGATTGCTCCATCTACCAATAATAATTTGTGTTAGCTTTACTTACAGAAGTAAAATACAACACCTGCAGGACTAGTAAAATACTAAATTTCCACTCTGTTGTCTCAGAAGTTTTACTAAAAAATGAGGATACTCACATAAAAAAAGAATTTATATGAAGTATTCAAAATATACAAAAGTATACAAAATATATAAGTTTTCAAGAATACTTACAGCAATAATAGTGAAACACTGCAAAAGTAATATAAATTAGCCTTCAACATATTTATGTCTAAAACTTCTATATAAAATATTGTTTCAGATCTCTCTGTGTTAACCTTCAGATTTTGCAATTAATCTCTAAAATACAGGTGTACTGAACACTGATGTCAAGTGCCAGATTTGTCAAAACATGCATAGCCTACATTGCCAAAAAGCTACAATGGCGAAGAACATTACTGTATCTGGTTCTCTATGTTCATCGCCCTTTCCTAGCTTTGAAAGGATATAATCTAGTCTTATAGCCCAGGCAAATCAAAATATGTTGTTCAACTACAAAAATTGTGTGAAAATTTTAATATAGTCAATATAATTATATTTACTGGAGTTGGTGATTCCAGGTCAATCTTCCTCAGTTTATACTTAGGCTACAGTTTCTCTGACTATCACTTACTCTAATTCCAGGGCCAAACTTCATGCTTGCTGGCCAATTCATCAGAAATGTTATAGAGTCTGCAAGACAATTTGTGCCCTTGCTTCCTTTTGAAAGTCTATTAAATTATTTAAAATACCTTGAAAGTTATAGCAGGGATTAGGATTTCTAGCTAATAAATCTGTTAAAATATCACAGGTGAATTCTAATAAATACGAGCTGAATGAGAAATGCTGCACAAACATCAGCAAAAAGAAAATACAGTAAACATTGTCACAAAATAAATACTGGTTTTATTTTTTTCAGTTGGTTTTGTTGAGTAGGAGGTTTGCAGGCACTTTTAGGATTTAAAAGTTTGCATTATACTTTCCTTCTATGCACAAGCATGTTTAAATACTCTATTTCCAAGATTTCACTTCTATAGATCATTTTGTTCCAATTCAAACTTTCATATTCAAACAGAATAACAGAAAATAATACATGGCTGGAAACCTCATTTCACAAGGGTCGCAAAATTCAGTCACAGTTTATACCACTTCCATCACACACTGCTTTCATCCACGTAAAGTAATAGGCTCTAGCTTTTAGAGGTAGCCTAGTATCTGCATGATATTGCAGTTGATCAGGTGAATATATTTGCTATCTTTTATTTACATAAACATGGGTAATTCTTACTTAATGTGCCCATATCCGTACAGTCTCACTGAAAGATTCCTTATAGTCTTCTCCATGTGCTACAGGGGAATTTCTGCTCCAGCATCCAGAGCACCTCATACCTCTCTTCACTGACTTTGGTGTTTGCAGAGATGTTTCTCTCACTTTTCTCATTCACTTCTTACAGCTACCATGCTTACCCTTTCTTAAATATGTTACCACAGAACTATCACCAGCATCACTGATGAAGTCAGCGTTGGCCAGTGTTGGTTTTTTTTGTAACTGACTCTGCCCAGCATGCAGGCAGCTCCTGATCTCTTCTCATAGAGGTTACCTGTAGCTCAGCTGCTACACAAAGCTTGCCATACAAACCCAGCAGAGAAGGATGAAACTATACCCAAAGACTCAGAATAAGTATTTGAAACTGCACAAAACACATGACTAATCTTTTTTAACTAAATGTAACATCCTATTTATATAATGTTCAGAACATACATGGCTTAATTTTTTTTAGTTTAGTATTACTGTATTCTTCCTGGTTTTGCTGTTTCTCCAATGCTTCATCATAATCCTTTAAAATTTACTCGATCCTCAACTTTTTATTAAATGATACACATTATGCAGCAATAACCTGCACACAAAATGCTATCACATTCGTATTGCAAGAGGCAAATAAGATGCATTTTGTACTGAGCTAATGAAGATGTAATAAATACAGAACCAAAAAAGCCCATCAAGCAGTCAAGAAAGCTTGATAGTTAACATTCTATAAACAATGAATTATTTTTTGGACTTCAGGGTTGTTGTTTTTTTTAACGACACCCACAAGACATTTAATGAATTTAATTTTCAGGGATTAGAATATGTGGAAACAAAGGACCAAATACTGAAAAAAATTCACAAACTCATCTGTCTGTATTTCAACTGCACTGAAGCATAAAATATGCCTCAAAATTTTGCGCCACATCACATGCTACTCAGCCATTTACAAGCAAATAAAGTACATAACACTCTACCAAATAGAACTGTTTCAGTTGATCCTAGTACTAAGCTAAACAGTATATATGAATCAAGACTGCAAAACTAGACTTGTTAAAGCAAACCTCCCAGTTGGTGTAGGAATATAAACCTATAAACCTGCTAGTACAACAACTGTACTACACTGAGTTAGCAACAAGATAATTTTAATAGCCCGAAGGCGGAACAAAACAGTGTGAGTCTACAGCTGAATCAAAAAGAAAAGGTCTTCCAGAATGTTCCTTCAAAAAAAAAAAAAAAAAAAGACTAACTTCAAATTTGATTGAGTAACACATAATAAATGCTTTCAACAACTTGGAAAACTCTTAGAAATGAGCGGTTTTGTACATTAAATTCCCCAAACTCTACTGCTTTGAGGGAATCCACATCACCAATCCAATAACCAACCACTCTGTGAAAGTGAAAAGATGTTGGGAATTCAACTTCCTAAGCAAGTAGCTGCACATAAGTAGGGTGAAATGAACTATGGCTTGCTGTCCCTGTTCCTCTTCACAAGCAAGATGGATATTTCTGTTACACCTATACATAGAAAGAAATTCTAATGAATTCCAGATATAGGGTTTTACTGTTACTATTGTTTAGCTGGAAGAAACTACAACAGCATATAAGATATCCTGTGTTTAGCACATGTAGGTCAGATAGTAGTCCTAACAAACAGAATATGTAGAATATTCTCCCACCTTAACTTCTGAACCTAAAGATTTTCAGTTCATTGAGATGCCAATATAAAATATTCACAGTTATGCAAAAAATTAATGGTGCGTGGTCTATTTCTTTCTAAAAGTTAGTTGATAATCTATTCCAGACCTCCTTCACCATCTGCATACAGTCAGTACTGCCAATACTTAGTCAGTAAGAATGTTAAGATTTGGGTTTTATATGCTGGAATAGCTTAATAGAATTTGAAAACCTACATCAGTAACAACAAACACATGTTTTTATTTTCCAGCCAAACAATTAGAATACTATTTGGAAGAGGAAGAGAGAGATAAAAAGTAGACAAAAATGTATTCTCTGCATCTTTACTTGTTTTCTTTCAGAAAACATAGTAAAGGTAAGTTGAAAGAAAGAAAGGAAGTGTTAAAGGAAGAGAAAGAAAATATTAAAAAAAAAAACAGTAAACACAATCATCAAAATAAGGCATCATATTATTCAACCACAAAAAAACCATCTTGACTAGTAGCTCAGATAATAGCAAGCTTTTATTTTACCAAATCTGACAATTTTTTTAGCATGACATTCTACCAATCTTCACAATCCTAAATTAACTTACTACTGTTTTGAAAGCATTCAGCCACAAATTATCACATAACGGTTTCAAGAGTGCTCATAATTCACAGCTAGGGATCCTTAGAAAGTTTTTCAGGTGTCTTGTAGTAATAATAACAGTATTTCCCCCAGAAGTATAGTTTATCAAGTACTTGATGAAGAAAAATAGCCTGTCTTTAGATCTTTTATTGAACATAATCTATACCTCCCCTTCTTTTCTCCTTCAGGTTTTCATTTTTTAGCTCATTTCATAACCACCAAAACTACTAATCAATTTACATTCCATAATTACATTCCAGTCAGAAATTTCATTTTTACAATAGATAATACGTCTGCCAGAGATGGATTATTTTCTCTATTGCTATGCCTTTTCTACCCATAGTTACAATGGGCATGCAGAAAACTCTTGATAACTTCCTGTTGACAGTTTTCCAAGTTAGAATTTATTTGTACTGGAATCACAAACAGGCAAAACAATTTTCTCAAGTAACAGCATTTAGGGAAACTAAGCAGTGAAAAATAACATCAGTGCTTGAATCTAGAAATTAAATCACTTTGTATAGGCATGAACAAGTCACATGAGAAAGGCAGAGTGGAATTGTTTGCTTTGTGGAGTTTTTTTCCTTGGGAGGATTTCTATACACAGTGAAATTACAATGAATATCAAACATGCCAACATTTGTTAGAGTTTTATTCAGCCACAGATTGTTTTAAAACTAAAACTACAGTTATGTTCCCAATTGGAGGAAAACAGTGTTTCAGATAGGAAAGGTGGTCTCCTGTTACATTAAGAAAAAAAAATAACATGCCAAACTACTGAAAGTTCTTGCAGCTGTCATGGAGTAAATGTGTTAGCAGTGTAGCAGGATTATTAACACAATGCATTAAAGGCTGAAACAATCTTCAATTTCCAAAATAATATAAAAATATGCTACTCTTTCACATATTGTATGCTTATGGCCTAATAGCTTTTGTTCCTTCCTTAATAATTTCTAATGTTCACACCCAAAGTCATTAGTTCTATCCAGTGTTTTACCTACCCACTTGAAACGTCAGTTTATCTTTTGAGGTGCAGAGGAAAAACTAAATCTTTATTATGCATTCTGTTTATTCCCCTAAGTTGATCTTCAACATAATCAAAGGAGGTGATTATTACAATCATTCCATTCCTCTCACACAAAAGTAATTACTACTTAAATAATACCATTGCATTCACAAATTGTTAAATAGTAGGGTTTAAAATTAATGTAAGTATAATTCAAAGTACCAGACATAAGTTTGGAATACCTCATTTTAGATAAAGTAGCTCTCTCTTGTCTAGTTAAGTGGTCTATTTTCTTTTATGAAGCAGAAACTGAATGCAAGAAAAACTGGCTGCGAGAGACAGAAGTGAATAGATATTCTGTGGGCCTTTCTGAATTAAAGATTTTTTCCACAAAATACCACTCGCCATTAAGATACTTCCCTTTAACAGTGGATAGGAAATTTGAAACACAACTCAATCACCTCTCATTGGAAGATGAAATTGAATTTCTCATTATTACTCTGACTTGTTTCTGCTGGAGGGAATGAAAAGGTGAAACATACTAGATCTCCAAACTTCTTCCTCTTCAAGGAACTGAGCACAAGCATTGCCTTCTAACAAATGCCTTTATAGTTAGGGAATATTTTTGCATCTATTCCAGTATCTAATGAGGACTGCAAGAGGAAATATTTCTTCTTCACTGTTGCCAGGAACTGGTTTTTGGAAAATGGAAATACTCATAGAGTTACCTTATTTTTAAATGTATTACAATTCATAGCTACCTGCTTACTTTTCCCACTTTCTTTATTCTTAGATACAAAACACATGCGCACTACATTGTGCATGTTTAAATACTGATCTGTCGTTCTTTGCAATTCTTCAGATGTGAAAAGTCAGTTCCTATTATGGAAGGAGGGGATATCATTTTTATTTTTGTTATTCCTACTTTTAATTTAGTGAAGTATCCCTTTTTCACATTGCTTAAGGGATTTTCCCAAAATTCCTTATTCAACATACAATTCATGATGGGGCTTAGCATATAACTAAGCTAATCATCACTTTCCCTCTCAAATATCACAGTAAAGAAAACTTTTATTGCAAATTATTACAAATCCAAGTGGCTGATGGTGAGTTAGCACTGTAGGTTAACAATCTGACCATGTCAAAAGAGGCAGCATGAAAAAGAGCCCTCATGACGATTTTATGGAATTAATGCTACCATCACATAAGAATTTCTCAGGAGAATCGGTGACATTGAAAAGAAGCATCATATTTCTACTGTATAATTCAGAATCCATGTACATTATCTCTTGTGAGTCAATTTTGAAATCTGTGTATTATGCATAGCAAAATTTACAAGTACAAATTTTAGAGGCAACCTGTAAATTATTACTTCGTACAACAATTTTGGAATGTGAAAACTCATACTTAGCATAAGAAGGTGATAAACACTAATACAGCACTTGAGATCTATGGTCAAGTACAAGGAATTCATTGTACTATGTGCTGCACAGTAAGGACAGAACAAGAAATATTTCTACCAAGGGACATTACAACCTAAGACAAGAAATATATGGATTCATAGGGAAAGGAACCCAAATTAGTCATTGTAATGGGCATCCACCTCAATACATAAAACTGCTAAATTTTGAGGAGAGGTTGATTTAAAGATACTGAAAAAGCTTTTAAAAGAGGATAATGAGCTCTGCAGATACCCATAGCAAATCTCTTCAGCTATAAGAAATGGTATAAAGCAAAAAAATTGAAAGAACCAGACTGAAAATTAAGAAACCAACAAGGAAAATCGGTACCGTAGGCTGAATGTAAGTATCTCAGAGCAGCAAAATAGAAATAATCAGTGTGGCTAAAGATTCGTTAAAACAAGGAGTTTGTATCTACTACCACTTAAAGGAACAGATTGATATGCAAACAGAAGAATGGCATTTACCTTCTAAATGCTTTGCTGTTCAACAGCTGTCAGTCTCGGTGAAGATAGGCTAAATCTGCACAGATTATCTACCAAGTCCAAGAAAAATATACCACTGTGATCAAAAAGCAAGCTGAATCTTTAATGATTTATAGTCAAATTGACATATGGATAAAGGAGAATATATTCTACAGTTGCTATAATGCAAAAAAGGTAGCAGATAGGGTACTATTCTCAAAGTTAAATATATTAAGACAGACAGACATACTTAAAAGAAGTTTCTTATAGAAGAAGTTACAAAAATTGCTAGTTTTGACAAAAGAGATACTTAGGTTACATATAGATTTATGAATTATTCATACATGGCTGATAGCTGAACTTGTTTGTAGATGTATTCCTCCACAAAGAAGGTAAGAAAAAGAAGGTATGATCCCAAATGTCTTCTAAGTAAGAAAAGAAAGGGGGAAAAACATGCAAAAGAAACACTGTAGAAATTGTGAGAAAGGCTTCCAGGAACAGACAAAAGAAGAATAAAAAAGAAAATCTAGATCTTCTGTGAGAGAATGGAGATCAAAGTTGAAGGTTGGAGAATTATCTCTGAGTTTCAGCTGGAAAAGTCATTAGCTGTTTTGGTAACAGCAATTTTGATTAACTGATGGGAGAAACAAGACTAAAGAGGGCACAGGAATATCAGAAGAACAATCTCAGACTTTACAAGCATATAGTATAGTTTGGATGGTAAATGTTTGGCTAATACTCAGAAAACAGAATTGCAAGCAATGTGAAACATTCAGGCAATGTGAAACAGTCTGGGTAAGAAGACTCTGTACTGATACATATTTGCATTTACATTTTGAACACCATTATTTTTTATGATACACCATTATTTTTTTATTTTTTAATTATGATTTTTCAATATGGAAAAACATCTTGAGAAAGTTGGCTTCAGTTCCATGCAGTGCCTTTTTCAATAGGATACACTGGAAGAAAGCCATGAAGAAGACTGTTTATGATTACAAAAGACAGTTCGGCAGCCCCAGTGTTCCTTTAAGACACGAGCTGTGTAGTTCCAAGTGGCCTTTTAGTTAAAAATTAATCACATGCACCTTAGCATCCATTCTGCTGAAGTAGAAGTGAGTCAAATCTTACAGGTTTAATCTACAAAACACTGTAAGTAATCTTTACAATTGAATGTTGTACTAAGGAACATGGTGGGTAAGTATTGGTGGTAGATGGATGGTTGGACTAGATGGTCTCAGAGATCATTTCCAACCTTGGTGATTCTATGATTGTTCTATGATTGTTCTAAGGATAAACCACAGACTTTATACCTGTTCCTTGTTCTCCTTGTATTTTGATTTTCTTAAGATAAAAGGTAATTTACATTTCAACATAGTCGTCCTCATTTATAATGAGGGCACATTGTGAGTGTCAATATCAGTTTTAGAAGTAGACTGAAAGACTTCAACAAAGACTGGCTAAAAATAATAGATATTTCATTCTATTTTGCTACAGACACATTCTGTGTCATCAATCACAGTGAAAACAAGGCTGAGACAAAAGTCATGGAGAAAAAGTCACTCCTTGTATTGTGTTAACAGGGGATATAGGAATCACAATATCTTTCTTAGGCAATATAGAATCAATTCAGGAGGCTGTCATGATTAAATACCTTCGGTAAGAACTACAATTTACATAGAAATTCTCCATAGAAGCTAATCTCATGTTTTTGATTAGCAAAAAACTATTAAAAAAAAAAAAAAAAAGAATGATTTCATAACAGGAATCAATCTCAGGTTTCATGTTTTTGATAGTTTCTGTGAGAAACTTTGTATGTTCCTGGTAAAGATCCAAAACTTGACAGGCAATTAACTTTAGACTTTCTTTTGTACTGTAACACTGAACATAACTTCATGAACCCAATTACAAAACCTCAGTTTAGACAGAAAAAACTGTCTATTTCAATGTATTATGTAAATGGCATATTACATATTACAAATATTGCTATTTGATGAATAAAGCTGCAACTTACGTTATTTATAGTAAAATTATTCTGAATATCATTTTTCAGCTCCAATCTTTTCAAATGTTTTCCCATAAGTTTTGAGGTAGATTTCACCTTAATTAGTGCATGCATCTAAAACAACAGCCTCACTCCTCTACTTCTCTAAAAAGCACATTCTGTGCGGAATCAAAGTATATTTAAAGCACTTGTTGGAGAAACTGACAATAATTTTCACTCTAATTCCTTTTAATCGCTATTTCTTATACATGTAATATGTAAAAATTCCCTTCATCTTCACTGGCAGAGATATATTTTCCATTGTGCTCTACCAAAACTAATCCTGATGGCCTATAAAACTTGTTTCCTTATTTACATACTAATTATGTTTTCATCTGTTGTCATAACTAATTTTGTAAAAACTAATCAGTACTTTCATTTTGTTCTCTGTTGAAATGCCATGGAAGATACATAGTCTGTCTCTGTCTATAGTTCCAACATTAAAATTTGACAATTTTTAGAAAAAGAGATGATGTAAAATGCAATTTTACGAAGGCTGTAATTTTCAGAAACACTGAAGTTGTTCTATTAAATAGAGCCACTTACAATACCAGTATACTGTGATGTTTGATTTCCCCTAGAAAATAGCAAGCATTACTGCACTTTATTGTATGCATTTTATGTATACAATAAGGGAAATGTAAATGAAATGTTGCAAACTAATAGCACTCTGAAAAAAAAACCAACAGTTAATCATTATTTTAGAATTGAAATCTGGTCCCTCTTTTCAATCTTATTTTTCCTTTCACATACCTTCAGATTTAATCCTACAGTCCTGAGATGCACAGAGAGCTAATTTAGGAGATATAGATTTATGCAATACATTGTCATTATGAGATCTTCACAATGAAGTATTTTTAGTAAGCTTAAAGACTTTTCTGGAGTGTTGCACGTTCTCATTCAATACGGTTTGAGTTAGGCCATTAAGCACAAGGTAACCAATTATTTACCTATTGAATACCGTTCAGACAAATATTTGAAAATTTTATCACTATTATTCTCATTTTACCATTACTATTTCAGTGCATCCATATGTGTATAGCACATCCTGTACAGTACCTTACTTATTTTTTCATCCACAGACTTCTGAATACGCTGTCTAAGAGGTTTTGGAGAAGATTCTTTGGACTGTGCTGGCGATCTATGTTCAAAAGAGATATGAAGTATTCAGAACAAATAAAAATTTATTAAAAAATTAAATAATAAAATCTAAATAATAAAATAAAAATAAAATAAAAAAATAAAATTTATTTTATTTAGCTCATTTTTTCTTTTAGTTCCATTTTTATGCGGCACTAAATTTCTGCCTGCCTTTTCAATGTATTTAAATTGCCAAAATATGTAATTTCTACATGTTCCCATCTATTCCATTTTTACGGCTCATGTGTTCTCCTTATGACCCATAGTGACAAAATCCTCAGCATCCCACTTTTCCAAAGCCTGGTGCTTCCTCAGGATAAGTGATCAGTTAAATCATTACTGTCTCTCCACTCTATGGATATATTAACTTATTTTTCCAACAAAAATTGCTTTGAAAGAGATTTGTTGTTTTGTGGATCACATCAACTTGCATATACTTCATACATGTTTAAAATCCAAATTAAAAAGGGGGAGGGGGAAAGAGAAGAGGGAAGGGAAGGGAAGGGAAGGGAAGGGACGGGAAGGGAAGGGAAGGGAAGGGAAGGGAAGAATTAGCAAGAAGTAAATCACAGAACTGCAAGGATTGGAAGAGATATCAAGAGATTATTGAGTCCAAACCCCCTGCTTTTAATGCAGGCACCCTATAATAGGATGCACAGCTAGGCATCCTGACACGTCTTGAATATCTCTGCAAAAGGAGAATCCTCAACCTCTCTGGGCAACCTGTTCCAGTGCTCTGTCACACATACTTTAAAGAAAGACTTGTGTTAGCAGTAATGTGATAGGAAGATTACAGGCATTATATGAAAAACAACAGCAAATATAATATTGCCCTTAACCCTACAGACTTGGTGAACCAGCAGAACCAGAAAAAACTAAAAAGAAAACAACCAAAAACTTTATTGTGAAGACATACGAAAATACTTAATTCATATTTATGCAAAATTCAATTTTATACGTAAACAATATAATAAATTGTATCGGAATCACTTTGATTTCAATATGATCACTACATACTTGTTTAATTACAAATTTTAGCAATACTGAGAGGAAATCAGCACGCTTGCATTGTATAAGGTCCAAAATAAAATTTAAAACTGATGAAAATTAAAAAGAAGTACGGAAACTTTATTCACACTGCTATAATGCATATTCAAAAGGATGATTCTCAAGCAAACTAAAATGAGGTTCTTACGGATGGAAAATATTTGAGGTGCGTACTGAAGGTCCCATTAAACAGAGAAAAACTTCAGCTTGTTTTGCATGGTCAAAAATATCATCACTGCTTACATTTTCCATCTGAAAATATGTATGCAATTTACAAATTACAGAAATATAATTTTAAATGAAAGAAAACTAACGAAAATATGAACATCACACAACAACTGCTTTTGAGCAGCAGCTTTCTTACAGGATTTAAAAGGTGACAGATAAATAGAGCCAATTAATTTAATCTCAAAATTTATTAAAACACGAGTAAATAAAAGAAAGTAAAATTCCAAGAATGCTGAAATTATGAAAAGGAGATACTTTCATTTATCTTCAGCATTCAACTGAAAAATAACAGTGCTCTTTTAACATTATTAGATCCCAGACAAATACACCCAAAAGTTTTACATATATCTTGGGATTCTTCAGTAGTAAAATCACTAGAGATAACAAAAAATATTGTGAAAATCCTCAAAATAAAAACTACCATTTGATCTAAAACCATGAAGCTACCATATGAGATGACAACCTGTAACATTGAATCAGATTAACAAAAATAATTTTCACTACAGTGTTTACTGTCAAACCTACTGCCATTTATCCTGGAAATTATTTCAGACTTACTTTTAACTATATGGGTCAGCAAAAGACTGTAAACACTGTCGGTCAAATGTTTGAGAAGTGTTAACAAAAAAGGTACTGTATATGTGCCTGTATGTTGATGAAATACAGATACCTTAGTTACTATGCTAGGTGATATTAAAATGTTCATCGCAAGGCAATTGGAAGATTACAGTATAAACTGTTATAGAAAGGTAGAACACAAAGATTTAAATAAAAATTGAGAAGAGGTGCTGTTTGCAAGTTCACATATTTCTTCTTAGGCTTTGCAAATTTATGTACTCCTGAAACAATTATTTAAGATTAATTCAATATTTTGTGTGCTTCCACAATTATTTCTATTTAGATGTTATGTAAACAAATAGTATTTAAAATTTTATATAGTGAAAAATAAAACCTAAAACAAGATAATCACCAGAAAATATTAAAGAAAACACAAGAATTTTGTGTAGATTACCATATACATTTCTAAATAGTAGCACCTCCTTGCACCTACAAGGAGAAGATTTCAAGTCAAATGAATGCTTTACATCTTTACTCAGTGGACACTCTAATCCAGAAATAAGAGGTTTTTATTCCAATTTAAAGAGTTGCTTAAGAAAGCAAATAAAGATTTCTAGCTATGAATAACAGCAATGCTTAATTCAGAAAATTTCAGTTGAGCTTTGATGACATTCACATTGAGCACTAATCTAAATCTGATTAAGCTCCTATTCGTTTTGACAAAACACATCCTGATTGAGGTTTATTAATTTAATGAATCCTGAATCAAAAATAATGGGAAAATATTTTTTCTGGACGTTATTGGAATGTGATAGTTTGGTTGGTTTCATAAAAGAGGTTGAACTATAAATCTAGAGGAACCACCAAATTCTCCTTATTTTATGTCTATCTCCTTATTTCTTCCAGTTTAGGACTCAAAGAAGGTGAGGAAGTTCTTGCATTAAAAATCAAGTAATAAAATCAGTAACCAACAGCTTCACAGAATTATAGGTGCCTTTGTTTCCTGTATTGCTATGGAACACATATCTGAAACTGAGATTTCTATTGACATCCCTGCATCCTTTTGTCCAGGCTTTTTTCTTGTTCTTCTCCTATTCTGTTATTCTCAGAGTCTTGCACCAGCATGCCCTGACAGTGTTGTACTGGTGGGTTCTCATGTAAAGCAACTGCCATCAGCATAAGAAAATCTCTAATTCCCCACTTTTTACAGTCTTTCGTTGTAGCTCTCCTTTTATATTTGGGAACCCCAAAATGTGCAGGCAAAAACCTTAAGAAACAACTAACCATGCAGTCCTGGCCTTAATGAACAGATGTAGTAACCACCTCTATTGGCATCAAAAAGCAGGGACAATCAGCAGTGGGTTTTAGCAGGTCCTTATTAAAAAACCATAGTTATCATGGGAATAATATTATTGTGGAACCAACTGCTGTACTGCAGACGATGCTTGTCTGGAGACCCAGGCTGCTTCACTTCCCAGCTGGTCACTGAGAAATTTTTCTATTTCCTCTCCTCTCCTTCTTTCTCTCAATTTCACCATCAGAGTCAATGTATGCCATGAACTACAGATGTACATGAATACCAATAAATACATGAACTACCAATAAATATTCATGCACAGGAATTTGTTTCAACATCCTTTGTATGTTACCAATTGGTGTATCACAATATGAAAATCTATTTAACCATTTAGAAAAGTCTCTACAAAATAACTACTACGTAGGAAAAAAACACACTGTCATCCCAAAATATCTTGTACTAAAGATAGATGAAGGAGGAATTTTCAAACTGAATATAAACGCAGTCAGCTACTGAATACACATTATTTGAACTTAAGAATATAGACGAGTATCTGGAAGACTAGTTGCAAAGGATACTCCCTTCATAGGTCTTGTGCAGCCCAGAAACATACTAGCCCAGAAAGTCTGTCTTCCAAAAGCACATTGAAAAAAACAGTAAGTGAAGATGAGGAGGTAGAATACTTTTGAGAACTTGACACTGTCCTAAGAACACTTTCCTTTTACACCTATGCTCCAGGCTGCAAATTTAGCGTACAAAATATCAGTGCTTTAAATCAGTTAGTATAAAATCTTTATAAACGAACAAAAAGATTTTTAGTACTCACCTGAAGAGTGTCAAAACAGAGGTGCTTCCAAACATAATTAAGTTTACATCATCATATAATAATTCCGCTTTGTTCTGGGTAGGAGCGCTGACTGCTTCTTCATCAAGAAGAACTAGTAAGACCTTTATGGTATCTCTGCCACAATATGCAGTGCCATGGTTTATGGAATGCAATTTCGGCTGAAAGCAAATAACATTAAAGAGAACATACTGCAGGAAAGGTCAAAAAGTGAAATCAATAGCTCACCTCCAAAAGCAACTAATAGCAGAAGATGCAAGAACCCCCTCCTCCCCTTTCCTAGTAAGCATCTATCAAGTAACATGACTACATGGAAGATTCTTTTTCATCCCAAGGAATGAGTAGAATTTAGATCATTGCCAACTAGAGGCATACACTGAAAAGAAAGTCACACAAATATTCAAATCTGTGATGAAACCATGCTGCTGAAACTAACATATTATTTCCTTAAAACCAGCTCGAGTGCCACACAAACATTCTAATGAAGTCCAACTCCTGTAACCGAATCTGCAAAAGCAGCTGGTAAAGAGAGATTTTTCAACCAAGATATGGCAATAGGTACAATCCCCTCTTGTTTGTAACACGATAAATTCCTCAGTTTTCCACAAGAATTAAAAAGTACTTAAAGAAAATAACAATTCACATCTGGAAGAGTTCAGTGCTACAGCCAGCAGATGCAGAATTTCATAGGATTGCTAGAGTTGCAAGTTTATAGCATTTCTCTGTAAAGTTCTAGAGGTTTTCTAAACAAATGTAGTGCTAAATACACAGTATTAAGGTTTAAAAACCACAGTTTTTCTTATTTACCAATACAGAGAAACATACAGTAGCCTAACTTTGTTTAGAACAGGGCAGGCAACAAACTGCATTTCTTTAATCAGTTAACTGTTTTCAACACAGCCTTGAAAAGATCAAATTCTATTTCTCTCCCTATTTGATTATATCAATTAGTGTATGTAGCCTTCAAGAAGCCATAGCAACACGTCAGTCAGTTACTATAAGTTATAATCAATAGCTAGAAATAGCAATTACAGAAATGGTTGTTATACTTGATTTTACAAAATTGGTCTATTTCAGTAACATCTAATTTCCTCAATATTTATTCTGGACCTCTTCAGTCATTACATCACTACATCATCTACATCATGGAATTTTATAAAACGCCATGTGGGTCACGGTAAATTTATCTTAATGAAAAAAGTATGAGTTTGACAACAGCTTGACTGATTATATACAAAGAAAATGTAACAATAATAACGTGTAGAATATAGTATAACTGCCTAACTGCCAAAAGATGACCTTCAGAAATCTCACGTACTACTACAACAGTAGCTTGGTGTACTAAATACTATTGTCCAAAAAACAATAGGAACTTCAGGCAAGATAAAAATCCCTGCCACAAAAATCTTGTTCATTATTAAAATAATGACTCTAAATATTTTTTCAAGTAAACTATTTATTAATCTTTCAAGGGAAGTAACCATTAACTACTCCAGACTATTCAAGCCAGTTCCAGAAATGCCAACTGTATTCAATTTACAGCAGTAAATTTCTAAGGAAGAAATTCATCACAATTGCTATTAGTCACTCATGAAGTCTTCAGTGAAAAGTTGTATTTCCTTCTGCATAAAATATTGATTTTTTATACAGCTTTGGACTTTTATAAAACTGATATTTACAGGAAAACTGAGCAAAGATGTAAGAAAACTAATAGGAGAAAAAGCAAATATTTTTCCAACAAAATATCTCTCTGGTATATTTTATACGACCTGAATAGAAACCAAAGTACATTTTATGTAGTGCCAGTCTTTCTAAGAGCTGCTGGAGGCATCCTTTTCAGATCTACAGTTAATTTCAGATTTACAATTTATACTTAAAGATGTGAAACTCAGCAGAGATTTAACCTTTGCTGTCCTAAGATCTTAATGGAGCAATACAGACACTCCAGTTTTTCTTCACAGTTCAAATTCATTCGGAAAATGCATGGAAATTTTTTATTATCAAAATCCATAATAAAAACCCTCCTGTCTATGTGTGTTTAGTATAATGTCTTTTTACTGAAAGCTCTACTGAAACCTGCAGTTTGAAATCTTTGCTTAACATTTGCCCATGCTTTCTTAGTGAGCACTAGATTTCTCAAGCCAACCAGCATATCAGCCACATTCAGGCCACAGTCATCCCTCATGGCTGTTAGCTATATCTGTACGTACATACTATGCATATGCATGTTCTGTGGTGCGTATGGTGAAAAGGATTAGCTTAAAGCCCATCATTTTCTGATATGTACTCAAGTTTTCTCACAAAAAAACTATAATAGAATCTTCCCACTCAAAAGCAGATTGGTTCTTTCAACAGAGAGATTAAATTCAAAAACGTAATTGGGAAAACCTTCAACACAGAACCACTGACTCACAGTAATATAGCTAAGTAGATGAGCTGCCTACAGACGCCCATCTTAACAAAACTTCATGCTGTTCTTAACAGAATTAAGTACTTCCCTCTTTCTTGACAACCATCCCACTATCTTCTGCCTCAACAAGGAAACTAGAAAAAATTTCTACAGACTATTAGGCTACAGTATCAACCTATAGAAAACAATAAGAAACATAAACTATGTTAGAAAAGCATTGCTTGGTAAATCAGAAGAATCTTACCTAGCTGATAAAAAATCTAAGACTTTAGATTTTTTTTTTTCAGGAATCCAGGTCTCCAGATAAAGACAGAGATAATAGGGCTGCTAACTTTTCAGATGGAGCAGAGAAAGAAAAAGACAAAGACAAGAAAGGGAAATGGTAATACAAAGCAATGGAAGCCTCAGGAGATGCAGTAAAATGAGGATGCTAATCCGTGGAAACACGTATTTAAATCAATTTAACTGTCCACTAAGATCTAGAGGCTTCTACTTCTTATTGAAAAACAAAAGGATATTGGAAGTTTTATAAAAATCTGATAGAAATCTTGTTACTATGGGGTAATTCCAGTGATTTGGCAATACCAAGCACTCTAAGAATATACACAAAAAGTGTTTAGCAGATTTTAAAAGTTTCCTAGACAAAAACACATAAGATATTGTTTTATATATACCAACAATGTAAAATAAACTTGGTTGATGTTTTCATTAGAAAAATATCATAATAGAAAACCATGTAGACTCAAAGTACAGAAATCACAAATAAAAACATGTATTCAGGTATACTCTCCACACCTATCTTTTAAAACGTTAAATGTTTTGATTCCCTTCAAGAAAAAAAACACACACATACACAAAAAAAAAAGCATTAGTAACTAATTAGTGTTAGTCTTGAAACACTGAAAGAGAAAAACATACACAGAGTATTTGGGTTTTCATTCGTTATCCCTGCCAAGGTTTCACCATATTCCGGACTTCTTTCATATTAAACCATATTTTGAGCTTCTTACACTTAATAATACTTGACTGAGAGCTAATTAAAATTTGTGTTCTTTAATCAAAGTGCAGATGTATGTTCTCAAATCTTAACTCCACTTTCAAGAGGGCTTTTTTCTGCTTGGAAATGTTATAGGTCTACTACTTTGAAATTACTGTCAAATCTAACAGTTACAAGTATTTACATTTAGAACTGCTGCAAGAACAAAATAAATTTTGAACAGCATTTAATTTACTATTTCAATGTAAGAAGTTTAAATAAAACATCTTTTTGAAATCCACACTGTAATCCTAAAGTATAAGTCTTTCAGCAAGTTTAAAACCACATTGCAGAGGAAACGACACTGCTCTATTAGTAGGAAAAGCTAATACCCTATATAAAAGTCTTAAAAAAAAAAAAAAAAAAAAAAAAAACACAGAACAAGAACAAAACCAGGAGAAGGACATTTACTTTCTTGTAAAGCTAAATAATAAAAAGAACAAAAGAAGTCCCATTACCCGTGTTGGACTGACTCCAGTGGCACTAACAGTCAAGACTTCATGTTGTGAATCGATAATATTTTTAATCCTCAAATCCAAATCTTGTACAACTTCCTCTACTGCCTGATAGAAAGGATCCCCATTGCTTCGGCCTTTCATCAAATGCATCTTCACTGTTGACAGAATTTGCCCCCCTGCAACTCTGAAAATAGGCAGAGGGTCATCTCCACATTAATCTTGGCAGCACTTTAGTATACCTATTAGTGTTGAACATAGCTAGTCTTCACAGTTAATCAAAACTCTTCAGAGAAAAGCTTTGATCTTTCAAATCAAAGAGCAGTGTGGAAGCACTGTCCAACATAATAGCCTGCTTAAGAAAAACAGAGATTATAAGAAAAGGTAATGAATTCAGCATTTAGTACTACTCTGACCTGCAACACAAAACTAACTTTTCCATAAAGTCCAAAGAAAAGCACTTTCTTTAAACCAATAGTTACTGTTTCGCTTGTAAGCTGTTAAGTAAGCAAACATGGACCCTAATTTAACATCCAATTCAGATTTTGAGCATTGTGTTTCATGAAAGTTCTTTAAATATCAGTCTGCTTTCAATTTTGTTTCAGTAGTTAGTAATTAGACTAAATGAACATTCTGTTTTTACATAAAGGTACACAGTACCAATCTTCTTTATAATCAAGAGAAAACATAGAGTATATTTACGCTAAGTCCAGAAACATCCATGAAGTTAGACATAAAAAATATAAATAATTGAATGCCAAAATATTTGTTTTGCCATAGGCAAGGGCAAGGCCAACTTTTCAACTTCCTCCACACTTAATAGCTACCTAATTTTCCTAAAACGATACCTTGTAAATACAGACAATCATATTTTGCACACATTAAATTCTAAAGAGAAGTCTCAGAATTCCTGCTAGGAACACCTCCATCAAGTAAAATTCTATCTGTCTAGATTCATAATCCAAAATAGAAAATAACTGTGTGGGGCTAAGGAAGAACAAGGACTCCGTCAGAGGAAAATAAGTTTGTTTATATTGTTTTCTGTTAAAATACATGGAAGGAATGGGGCCAGGCATCTTGCTGCTTTGGATTACTCTGGCTGAACAAAACTCCTGGTAAATAACTTAGAAGCCCTGAAGTTAATATGAAACATTTTTGGCTTTTTTCCAGGTCAGAAACAGCTATTTCCATGCAGTTTTCAGCTTTAACTTTTACAGATTAAAGATTATTCAATTCACATTAGAATTCACAGTCTTGTTTAAACAGATAAACGTTAGCTTTCCAGAAGCTTAAGCACAATGCATGAACTCAGCCAAAAGGAAAGTCACCAGGTGAAGTCCCTCAGCACAAAGCTCAAGAACCATAGCAAATGTTAAAGAGAGGAAAAAACCAATGCTTGAGTATCTCTGCTCCAAAAAACACAATTCAGTTTAACCACAAGAGAATGAAAAGTTCAAGGGGAGAAAAAAATAAAAATCATTCAGTGCAAGTTGTCAAGAGGTAAGAGTATTGTTGAAGAAAATTCTGTATCAGAGATATGTATAGGAAATCTAGCCAAGCCTCCTCAGGACTAAAGTGATATTTTCCAAAACAATACCCTCAACTGAGAAAAGCATTGTATTAACTGAGTAGTATCTGCTCCATAAATACCATATGGAATCTACAACTCTAGAACAAACAAGCAGGTGAATTGTTTGGCTGAAGCTGTGTTTCAAAGTATAGATCTTCCCTATATATGCCCAGGGATATATATATACATAATGTATGTATATGCTGGAAGAAGGATTATTCCATATACAACACTGGACACAAAAAAATATAAAAAAAAGATAATTGCATCCTTAATTAAAATGCTATGTGTTGTCTGTAATTCTTGATTACCTTGCAGTTTTTCTCCAAGGAAGAAAAAATATGATAAAAATATTTTCTATTTATTTGTTTGGTATTTTTTTGCTTCTACTACTCAATGCCAACTAAGGATCTTAGTTGTTATAAGTAAAGTTAATTTAATCTACTTTTCTCCCCATATTCCCTCTTCTTTTCCAGGAAAGAGTTCCAGTTCCCAATCTGACATACATAGTACTAATTGAAGCAAAGAAAAGTTTATTCATACTTTAATGAGATATTATATAAATAAGACATAAAGTATTCATCTAATGTGTGTGGATTAGTTACTGAAACACTGTGCCACAGCTTATGCATTTTACAACAGGAAATGATATTGAATGAAGCTATGTTGTGAATTTTATTAAAGTATTGAATAAATTTATGAAATGCTGTATACACCTCTCATTGGTGCTATTCATAAACTTACTACAAAAAGCTCTCACTGACCAAGTCTTATAGTTTCATAACATACACTCAGACCAGCCTGAGTTGGAAAAGCAATTAAGGCATTCTTTTGGCAGTTAACTATGTTATCTATAGCATCAATTGAGATGGTTAGGCCACTGTTAAAATTTAAGCAGTCCATTTGGTCGTAGGAGATCATCATCTGTTCATCAGAAAAGACAACTCACTGGATCAAAAATGTTTCAAAAAGCAATAATCTTGAAGGTAGATTTATAAATTAAATAACAGATGCAATACTTCTAATTCAAGTAATAAAATAAGTGACCTGAGAATCTCTAGATCCACTAGGAAAATTTCATTGCTACTGACATTCAAGCAAAGTTTACCTAAAAGCATGAAAATAAAAGGAAAATGCTGTAAAAATGCAACTTTTGGGGGTTGTGCTGGTGGTTTTTGTTTTGCTTATTGGAAAAGGAGTCTGAATGCCAGATTACTCTCACTCATATTTCCTAGAAAAACCATTTGAATCTAAATGGAGTGTAAAATATCTGGCATAGTACTAGATAGTAAATGTTTATATAAATTAAATGAGGTAGAAAACTGCTACCCACCTTGCAATTCCTAACAGCTAGAATGCCAGTAAAAGATTGTTTTCAATATGGAATTGTATCAACCAACTTATCTGTCTTAAAATCATTTTTTGCACCAGCAGACGTTAAGAATTTTAATTCTTCTTAATGCTGAAAGAGAAGGGCAAAACCCAAGTGAATTCAAGAATAAACATTAAACCAAGTAATGCCATTTGTCTAAGGTAATACTGAACTTGGGAAACTTTTTCCTTTCCAGTCAGGGTGCCTGCTAACAATTCTCAGATCTCAGGCTGCTGACATGAAATATTCTAAAACAAGGTGCGTAAGTCTCACATCCTTGGTCTTCTAAGTCATATTATGCAAGGACTCTTTTCAAATCCAATTAACAACAAATATCACTCAGTTATCACTATAATAGATATCCTAAGGTAGCAGTTTTTTTAAAGATCTCTAATAATATGATTTTCTCATCAGAGTCACATGCAACAAGATTTCTTTGTTCTACATAAAGGAAACAGACCTGGTGGTTTTAGTCAATGCTTTGCTGAACATGAGCCAGCAGAAGGTGGCCAAGAAGGCCAATCGCATCCTAGCTTGTATCAGAAATAGTGCTGCCAGCAGGAGCAGGGAACCGATTACCCCTCTGTACTCAGCACTGGTGAGGCTACACCTCTAGAGCTGCGTTCAGTTTCGGGCCCCTCACTACAAGAAAGACACTGAGGCACTGGAGTGTGTTCAGAGAAGGGCAACGAAGCTGTGAAGGATCTGGAGCATACATCTTAGGAGGAGCAGCTGAGATAACTGGGATTACTTAGTCTGGAGGAGGCTCAGGGGAGATGTTATCACTCTCTACAACATGAAGGGAGACAGTGGTGAGGTGGGGTTGGCCTCTTCTTCCCATGCAGCTAGCAATAGGACAAGAGGGAATGGCCTCAAGTTGCACCAGCAAAGATTCTCTGATGGGCTGCATCATCCTAGCTGCTGAAACATGAAGTAAGGCTCTCACAAATACCTCCATCTTTCATAACACAGTCCCAATTCATTCTTTTATTTCCTGCCCAAAATAGTTTAGACTGCTGTGCAAGTGAGTGAGGGAAAGCATGCAATCACACAACTCAGGGCTATGTTAATATGAGGGAATTCTGAAAGTAATGCCTCCTATTTTATTCCACTGGTCTGTGACATCAGAGGCAGATCGTGTTGGTATGGCAGTAGAGTTTGAACCTTCCCACCAAAATTTCATTACATCTTGCTGTTGTGCCTCTGATGGCAGCAGAGGCGCAGTCTGGTAAAATGGCATCTGATATGGAATTGCATATGAAAAAAAGGTGTGAAATTAAATTCTTTCACGTGGAAAAAATGGCATCCATTGACTTTCATTGATGCTTACTGAATGTTTATGAAGATCAAGCAGTGGATATGAGTACAGTGCTGGGTGATGCATTTCAGCAATGGTGACAGCAACATGAAAGACAAGCCACATTCCAGATGTCCATACACAGCTATAACACCATGAAGTGAAGAGTACCTCCATCAGCTCATCTGTGCAAATTGGTGGATTGTGACCAGTGAATTGTGTACAGAGCTGAATATCGGCTTCAATGCATTGGAAACAGTTGTGGCAACCTTGGACTGCAGCAAACAGTATGCCACAAGGGATAAGCAAATGCTCACATATGAACAGAAAGAACACTGTAAGCAAGTTTGTCAGGACCCATTGAACAAACACAAGGCTGAAGGTGACAGTTCCCAGGATTGCATCATCACTGCAGGCAAGACATGGTGTCACCACTATGAGACAGAGTCAAAACAAGTCCATGGAGTGGCAACATGTGACTTCCCTACAGAAGAAAGAGTTCAGGACACAGCCCTCAGCAGGTAAAGTGCACTGTTTTTTTGGGATAGGTATGGGGGGATCCTTCTGGATTCCGTGAACATGGGCATACCATCAACTCTGACTACTACATCAAGACACCGACTAAGCAGAAGGCTCAAACTTCTGTAGTCAGGCTCAAGAAGATAATCTTTATTTTGCAACACAATAATGCTAGGTGCCATACCAGTTTGAAGACCATGAAGCACATCACCAATTTTGGCTGGACTGCCCTACTACATCCCCTCTATTGCCCAGATTTGGCACCTTCTGAATTTCATCTGTTTGCACCACTGAAAGATGGACTGCATGGGTAACATTTTCTAGCAGTGATGCCATCATAGCAACTATGAAGCATTGGGTCACCTTCGCTGGTACAGATTTTCATGAGCATGGCCTGCAGGCTCTTGTTTCTCACTGACAAAAATGCAC